TGCAGTTTCTAAGCTGCCGTAAGCGGCCAGACACACACACACCCACACACAGAAAACAAGCCAGACATTTGTTAGACACACACACACACACACACACACACATGCATTCTGTCTGAGTTAAATGGTCATTGGCATTTTTAGTGGCACTTGAAAGCCGTTAGCAAAGCAATTACAGCAAAAGACGGCAAGTTCAAGGCAGATGGGGGCGACAGCAGACGAGCCAATAAAAAGCACTTTGCCACCTAATCCAGAGCTACCTGCTACCTGCCACATGTTGCAAGCATTATCCATAACGGGGCCATTGTGCATGCAGCCTTCAGACAGCATCATAATTGAGCTTCTGCATATTCAAAAGGTTGTCGTTTTATTCAATTGAAATGAGTTAAATTCGGTTAAGCCGCAAAATATTGTGGCAGCCGTCTGTGGGGGCGGAGGCCAAATGTTTATATGCAAAGCTTGCGCCTCAATTGCCACCTGAGCGGAGAACATAATGAGGCATCAGCATCAGCGTCAGCGTCAGCTATGCGGTCGAGTGTTTCAAGTGCTCCTTCCTCTTGCTCTTCCACGAGTGGGCGGCAGAAGCGCAAAATGTAATTACAGAAAAACATGATAATAAACTAAAGTATTCTGTCGGTCATTGCTCAGCTAATGAATACCACGTAATCAGTTTTAACTAAACTAAATTCTGAAATGAAGAGCCTATAATATTATCATCAAGATTATGGTTGGGATCCTTAGTTTTCAGACTGATGTGTTCCGGATTTGAGTCTATTTTAATATCTTATGTTAACCGAGATTTAAATCAAACCAATTCCCACAAAACAGCCGAATCAATATCTGAGCTGAACAGTATTTTCTTGGAAAATGCTTTGTCTCTAAAACTCAATCGAACCCGTTAAACCCAACCGTCGACAATTGTTTTCTCGGTTTTCTGTATCTCTGCGTACACACTATCTCTACAGAGAGTATCAACTACAGGGTACAATATAAAAATAAACAATAAATTATGGACCGAATTTAGCACTGGGCTTGTAAATTGTTTAAATTTGTGTTTACTTTACGGTTTATATATCTGGCGTTTTGCCTTTTCTCTTGTGCGCAATTAATGTGCAGCTGATGGCGTCGGAAATACAAATAGGAAAATAGATATATGAACAGATAGATACACACCTATTTGGCCGTACATATGGATATGTCGTGGGTATCTAAGGTAGAAAGTGAAAATGGGTAACTAATAAATCGAATGTCTACTTTAATTTGTCGCTAATTTGGTCTATGAAGTGAAATTGTGGGCAGGTAAATATTCAATAAGGCCAGCTCCAAAGTAATTTGAGAAGCTAAAAAAAATAACATTTTACGATTGTGCAATAAATTCAAATGCCAAACAGCGTGAAAAGGGGGGGTGAGGGTTGGGGGGTCACTGCATTTAACTGCTGTGAGAAATACTCGAAATGCGAAATGCAACAACGGAAATTGAATTGTCACATGGTGGATGGCTTCACCATTTGCTAGAGAGGCTTAGACATGGACAAAGGGTTCCACATGCGAACATTATATTTTATAATACGCAAACACTCGTGTTGAGCACGCACATTATAGCAATTACTTATATTTTGACTAACTGACTGACTGACTGACAGACTGACTGACCAGCTGGTGGAATGACTAACTGGTTAACTGACTGACTGACTGCCCCTCGCCGGAAGTGCGACGACGCGACGCGACGCGACGCTTTTTTTCGCATTGGCCGCACATCATTTAATATTTTCGTGGAACTGGTTAAGCGGGGGCAACAGGAACTGGCAACTGGCAACGTGAATGGGAATGGGCATGGGTATGGGTATGGGCATGGGTCTGGGGATTAGGCAGCCAGTCTCTAATGACTGCTCATTTTGTCATTATTGTGTTTATCGCTGCCGCCTGTCGCTTTCATTCTAAAACTGACATTCAACATTTAAGTGTTCCGTTTATTCATATGCATATGAGGCTGCATTGTCAATTATATGTGGAGCAGCATTTAATAAAAGGGATCGCTTTAAATGTGCAGAGCGTACGCACTGAAAATAACCAAAAAGCGAAGCTTGAATAGAATAGTTTTTAAATAGGCCAGATCATTTTATATTATCTTTTAGCTCTGCAGTATGAATGAGAATTGCCTGGTATATATTTTCATCATCATAGTGAGTAGTTTTTATTATTAACAAGACTTAATTTGTAGCGTGTGCTGAGTTCAGATAGATCCATTCTGTCAGGTGATATCTCAGGTTACAAGGAAGGAGTCACTGCTACTGTTCCAATGTTGCCTCAAATAGTTGCACTCTGTTAATTAATTAAATCGCTGTCAAGCAGAAATGTCGATTGAATTGCCAGTCTTGGCCTTCTCCCAAGTTGCATAGGCTTCTAATGTAAATATTTCATAAATGCTATGATAATTATTACAATGAAATACTCCCTTTGTTTCCATTTTAGCAACTCTTCGCTTCGCCTTCGATTGCCCAAGCAAATGGTTTGCTTAATGCTCGCTTGCATTTGATGACTCAATTTGCGTTTGAACTCATTGAACTCTCCATATGTATGCATATGTAAATGTATATGCACATATGCATGGGCATTGTCGACAGTGTTATAAAACAATTGTAACCACAGCGGCATTTCACACATTTTATTTTCTAACTCGTCACACTGTGCGCCAATCGAGTCCAGTGCCAAGGTTGCCTATTCAGCTAATCCCTGTGCAAATATATAGAACTTCTTCTGATCTTCTGATGATCGTCGCACAACTCAGAACTTGCGAGCTAGGCATTTGAAGAATATGGGAATCCGAGCAGTCAAATACTATATATATATATATAGATTGATATTTTTAAGCCGTCATTTATTGGCTGTATTTCATTGCCCATTACAATTAACCACATTTGAAGGGCAGACTAAAAGCGAGTCATGTGTTAATTGCAATTAGTTCATCAGGTTTCAATGGCTTTTCACATCTTTTGGCATACATTCGCAGTAAATGTTATCTGTGCCGCGTTCTCGTTTCATATTCTACAAGCTGTTAGATTACTTTTATGATTATTATTGTTAGAGGTGTGCGTTGTTGATAGTTATTGTGTTTGTTGCTGCTGTTGTTGTTGTTGCTGTTATCATTGTTGTTGTTAATATTGTTATTGTCGTTGACATCGGTTTCAATGAGCTTGCCTTTTAGTTAAGGTTGTTGTCATTGTTATTGTTATTGCAGGCCTTTATTGACAGCCGCTGTTGTTGCATTTGTTTATTACGCACAAAAGCCGCATTTGTTGATTTAGTTTGCCTGTTTTCGGCCACAAAAGCTGGTTGACAATCGCATAATGTGCACTAACTATGATAGATCCACTTAATAATTGGAAATGGGGTTTTTACAGCAGAGCTGAACACGTTTTCCCGCCCATCAAATTGGAATTGAAAATAACGAAAATATATTACAACAAGCAATGGAAAGTATTCCAATTTGGTCTTGAAGAAGCTTCAAGATCAAAACATTATATTGTCATTCCATATAGCCACAATATTATATGTATATGTCCCCAGGCATACTTTAACTGCAGCACCACCAATTTAAACGCTTTTCTGCTTGTTTGCTTTTCTTTCTTTTGACTAGCTGCAGTTTTCACTTTATTTATAGCTGCAAAACGTGAAGTTTTTCCATTTTTATTTTGCTTCAGTTTGCACCAGGCCAAAGATTTGTGTGTCAGGAATCACAGAGGGGGATTGTGGGCTTGTATAGACAGTGTACACAACCAGTTTAGTGCCTCCGTAACCAGTCCACCACCCAAGCCAGTCACCCACAGTCGGCGGGCGCAAAAAGTCGCGAATGCTTCCACTAAAATTGCAATGAAAATAAATGTGCACCAAAAAAGAATTGAGCGCGTTTCAAGTAGTCCCCAGGGGCGGAAGAGGGGTGTGCTGTGAGCTTTCAAAGGCTTGAAATGGTTACGAGGTCGTCTTTGTTGTGCGTTGGTCACTTTTACCGTTGGGTGACAGGCACACACAGATACACACGCTTTATACAAAGGAAATGAGCTCATTTTGTGGACATTTTCCAGTTCATTTACGTTGATTAACGCTTTGGACAGAAATTTCATTTGGCTTGGCCGAAAGCCAATTAATAATTCGCACCACGACACCCAAATCAAGCTCGAGTTCGAATTCGAATTCGAGTTTAGCAAAGGTCAGCGGCAACAACGAGAATTACATAAACGCTAGACTTCAAAACACAACATGACTAATCCCACCAAAGAAAACGTGTGAAGAGAGAACTGCAAGAACATCGCGCCGAATGTTATTTCGTTACTGACGTCACAAGCATAGCAACGATATGAAGAAAGTCAATTTGACGCCGATCAAGCAACACGTGAGTCAGCCAGCAGAAGTGTGGCCAACTCTTGGCAAGCAAAGTAAAGAGAGAATTATAGTAGTGACCTACTCATTTAGGCAACTGAACAAGGAGGATCCGGCTACGAACCCATGCCTAGTATAGAAAGCAGAAACATTTAATACGAGAGGTTAACAGTTCGTATAACTATAACTTAATATTTAAGGGACAGGATATTTTTCGAAACAATTTAGTAAACACATAATAAAAATAACTCAAAAACTGACGAGCACACTGGTCAGCCACAAGTAAATAATCGGGAGAGCAGAGAGTTTGTAGTCAGAGTGACAGACAGAGAGAGAGAGAGAGAGAGCGATCACATAACTGTTGACGCTGCTAGCAAAGGTTAAATGCTCAATTTGTTGCCTGCCCCCCGTTATATTTCGCACATTGTCATTTGATATTTGCGTGCTCGCTTCAACTTATCAGTTGAAGGGGACAACAAGAGCGCAACTAAATATTTATACGGTTCTTGGGCGAAAGAGCGCCAATTAGTTCGTCAATTCTAGTTAATCATTAACTACTTATTACCCCAACCGGTTGGATATCTCAGCGGGGACTTTACCCTGAAACGTGTTGGTGACGCACTCACCTTATAGATTTGTATCTCCTCTAAAACGATTTCCGATTCCTTGAGCACGCGCTCTACTTCATCGTACACTTCCCGCTCCGTATCCGTGGGCGCGGCGTTCTCAAAGTCTAGGAAAACGTCGTAGGATTTGGCGGCGCAACAATTTGAATCGTCGCGTGACAACAGACTCAGCAGTTTGCCCATTTTCTTAATTAATTTATTACAAATGCGGCTTATTAAATATGTTTGACTTTATATATTATGTTTATATTTGTATTGATTTTTTTTTTTTTAGCACTTTTGGTTGCGTTTCACTATTTCGTACACCTCTTCACTCTGCAACAGAAAGGAGAAAGGGGATTCATTACGCATTAAGCATTAACAGCTGCTGCTGCTGTTGCTGCATTGCTGAAGCGCTGCACCTGTTGTTGGTGCGGCCTGTTAAGGGTTTATAAATTATGGCGGCAACAGCTGCTAGGATTACATACAGAGAGTGGACAGAGTAAACAGTTTTTTTTCAACAGAAATATAGATAGGAGAGCACAAAAAACGGTTCGTAATGTGAATATGTTGAACTCCAGCAAGGCAACAGCGGCGACACTGGCAATGCGGGGGGCGGATATGGACTGAGGCTGTTTGCCATGTGTCTTGCTGTGCATGTGTGCGTTTGTGTGTGTGTGTGCGTGCATGTGTTTGCTCTTTTGAGAGCTGCTTGTGCGCAGGAAATGATGCGAAACTAAAACTTATCGAAATTAGTAAACAACAAGGCGCACACACACAAATACACGCACACACATGCAATCACCGCAAGGCCAATGTTCACACGAAGTGGGAAAAAAGGCAATTTTCCTTGCCACGCAGCCACATGTAAACATTTTAGGCAGCCGCATAGTCCACCCCTTGTTCACTCGTTTAAGTTAATAGCGAAAAACGGACGAAAGTTTGCGCGAGTTTCTTTTATTAATAATTTGTTGAGCTGTACATATGTATGTGTATTACCGTCGACACTCTGTGGCTTTGTTTATCTGCGTCGCCTTATCTGGCTGTCACTTCTCTTTTAAATACCCTGTCACAAATGCACAAAGGGGTAGCTGCTACAAAGAGCAGTCGTTAAATGAAGTATATGCCAGTGGATTATAAGACGGCTAACAAATAGTTACTTTAGTTGATCAACAATTATATATATAGTCAATTAGTTTACAAGTCATACTTTATGTTAACTCAAAATACGGGGTATCTTTAAGTCATGCACTTCCAACTGCAGCTGTTGCTATTTTGCGCGCTTATCTGTTTTGTTATATGCACAGTTTTATTATTGCTCGATGGCTGTTTTAGGGTGGATTCGTGGATTATTCCTGCATTGGAATTTCAGCAAAAACAAGAAATTTCGTCGAATACAAAAAAAGAGGAAAAACATACAGGCAGGGCCAATTGCGCGCTTATCACCTTTTCTTTGCAGAACTTTTTCGTGAACTCGCGTATCGTAGGAGCCGCAATTTTTTAAAATTCGTTTAATGGTCGCGTTTCTTCATTTGCGCCTTTAACATTGCTGGCATTTACACAAGGCTTATGTTTAAAAAAATATAACAAACACACCAAAAACACGCCGCAACACAAACGCAACCACCACTCTCGACGGCAGCTAAAAACGTACTAATTTTGGAGTTCAGAAAACTGGCAGACCATATTATCGAAATGAGTGTTTGACTTAAAATATGGTATGGTGATCAAACGAACTACAAACTTATACCTGTCACTTATACACACATTTCTACAGTCAACTCGTATTTAACTACCAATATGTAGCTTTTTTCTTGACAAATATGACAAATATGGTGAGCTAATTGAATTTGGCGCGCTTCATTTTTGCAGCACAAATTTAAACACCGCCCGAGCCTGCTCATATTCTGTTATCGGTTCAGTGTTGGAAACTCTAGAAACGAAAATGTGATGCCTGTTTTTAGGAGTGCACACACTGGCACACACTTTTCGTTTTCCATTTTACTGACAAAAATAAAAAACCATGAGCGAGGACGGCAAAAAGTCCCAACTAGACGAAGTTCAGCTTATGCTGATCGAACGTTTGTCCAAGAATGACACCAACGGCTTCAAGCAGCTGCTGGGTCAGCTAAAGGGCGGCGTTAACTTTGTGGACGACAGCGGAATGTCAATATTGGCACACGCCAGCTTTAAGGGCAACAAGGAAGCGGTGCAGTTGCTATTGGACATGGTGAGTATATACAAATATTGTGGGCGTGATGCAATAGCTAAGAGTTAATAACTTACTCAACAGGGGGCTGACATCAATCTTAATCAACACGGCGCCGACTATACACCGTTGCACTTTGCCGCCTTGTCGGGCAACACGCACGTGTGCCGGCAACTGCTGGATGCTGGCATCAATCCGAATAGTATAAACAGCGTCTCTCGCACCGCCTCCCAAATGGCCGCCTTTGTGGGCAATCACGCCTGCGTGGAGACCATCAACAATTACGTGATGCGTTCCAGCTTGGAGTATTACACACAGCTGCATGGCCAGCAGACGGAGCCGCACATTCCGCCCGTGCTGCTCAAGGCGTTTCACACCTTTGTCACCGAAATCAATCTGCATCCCGTCAGAATAACGCTGAATGCACAGTCGCTGGGTCTGCTGCGAATTCTGCCCAATCTGCGCAAGGCTTTGGTGCTGATGTGCGAGAAGGAGATGCAAAAGTCCCACGACGTAAACGAACTGCTCGCATTTAAATTCCATTATTTAGGCTGGATTGTTGGCGAGCTGATGCGTTGCGAGGAGCAGTTCAAGGCACAGCACAAGGAAAAGGCCGAGGACGGCGGGGCCAACAAAAATGACTTTATCGAAGTGTTTGTTAAGCGCGTGCTCAAAGAGAACAAGCTGGGGCAGTTGGACTATGTTGAATTTACGGTGCGCGAATGCGCTCGCGAGTTCCCCTTCCGTGAGTGCACGATCTTCCGCCAAATAGCCGCCCAGCTGGGTGCCAAGGATGCGCCGCCAGCTCTGGTCATACTGCGCAATGCCATCAACGGAATGCGCGGTTTTGTGGTGAGTATCAAGTCAATAAATATAAATTCCGATAGTTAAGTGTCCTTTTGCATTTGGCAGGACGAGAGCAGCTACTGCAGTTCCTGTGGCCAGGAGAAGCCCGACAAAAAGTGCTCCAAGTGCAAGGCCGTGCAGTACTGCGATCGCGAGTGCCAGCGTCTGCACTGGTTTATGCATAAGAAGAGTTGTCCACGTCTATTGGCAGCCGTCTTGGCCGGAGCTAAGGAGCAACCGAAGGCGCCGATTGATACCTCCGAGCTGCACGAGGAGCTAGCCAAATTGTCAGCATAATATCGCTTGCACAATGATTACCTGCATTTTAAATAAATTAATTAAGGTTTGTTTAAAAGCATTGAAATCCCTGTATTCCCACGATATTTGTTTCATTCAAATCAGCTGTTAGCGTGCAGTGGCGCCATCTTGTGAGTTATTTAGGCATGCAGTGTTTTACCATCAACGCTATAGCCAAGACCCAAACCTTCAGTGGTCTCTGCTAAAATTCAAATTCCGATAACCAGTTTGCGCCTAATCTCAAAATTAATGAAATATCTCGCTCATTTCTTGCTTTGTTTTGCTTTTTTTTGGATCGTAAAGCCACTTTTATGGCCCAATCATATGCATATATTATATTTGGTAATAAAAAAAAAAACAAACGGCACACACATAAAATCGCAAACACGTATGAACGGCGACACCTTTACAAAAACAATAAAACATCATTATCGGCGGAATTATCAATAACAACAGCTTTGACCGCAAAAACCGGATCGGGAGAGCTGCCTACGCATAAAAATTCATTAAGTATATTAAAACAAGCACAAATTAGAAACGTGAGCGAACGATTTGCATTTTAATCGCATAATCTACGATTTTTGACGCATTTTGCCACTGTTTTTAACAAGAAAACAGCAACATAAATATATGTACATATATTTATAAGTTCAACAAATTAAGGCGCAGCGTTTAAAAACCACTTCCAAAGCGCAGATGCCGACAAGAGCTACACACTTTTTGTTGCTTTGTTGTTGTTGTTTTTTTTTTTTTTGGGAGGGTGAAAACGTGCAAATCCCATAATTTAATTGTTTCAAAATTTAAAAAGCAAATTTATGTGACAAAAACTGAAAAGAAGGTACAAAAAACAAGCCCAAAATTAGCTAAAGCCGCTCTAAAACAATAATTTCCCAACTTTGTGTAGCCAGTGAATTATTTGTCGCGCTGTCTTAAGCTATGCATAGATTTCTGTGAATGAAATTAAACAGCAAAACGAGCTGATTTTGATTTAAACTTTTCCACAATCCAGCTAGAATTTCCAGCTAAAAACTTAATTAAACTTATTAAGCTGGAAGCGCTTGGCGCCACCGTTTTGGCCAGCCTCCAGCATGGACCGCACGCATGCGTCGTGAATGTCGCCCGCCGGCTTATCGCACCAATTATGCAGGCCTAAAAGGCAGCCGCCGGCGGCGCACAGACAGATTTGTCGCATTTGACGCGATAATAATGCCAGGGAAATGGCCACACCACTCGACCCGATCCCGAACCCGATCCCATTCCCGAACCCATGGCTAACGGCCATAAAAGGTGCGATAAAAACGAAAATTTCACGAGCCACATGCCAGCGAGATGCACAGCAGCCGCTTCTGCGTGGCTGCGTCAGCGCTGGAACGGAGGCGACAGTCGGCAAAGACCAAACGCCTTCAAAGCCGTCAAATCGCTGCTCATAATGGATGCCTTATCTGTGAGAATTGTTTTAACTACTACCGGAGTTCGTTTTAGGCCAGCTCGAACGAACATTCGTTCTCTCCGCGCTGGATGGAGCACATTAATTTGCTTCAGGCCCGCCAAAGTTGCTCCGACTTGCAAAACCTGTAAAAACGGAAGCTCCGAAGGTTGCGGGGCCTGAACACGCTTCGAACTGCGTGCGTCCAGCCTCGAATTGTGGCTGCAAAACGATCGATTCGCATTGATCGATAGATGCGATAAGAATCGATAGACCAAGAATTGTTTGTTAAAGTTTGCTTTATTCGAAAGCTGCGCTTAAAATTAATTAACAAATTACAACTTATAGACTATATACTGCACACCGTGATCACAACAAAAGCTTCGAAGTGGACGACAACCGGAAAAGCTGCGTTTAATAGGCCAAAATGGCCGAGATGCTGAAACTGTTGCGTTTCGTAGAAGTCGTCGTGGGCGGTGAACTAGCTGGCGTGCCGGAAGCAGACGATGACGCAGTCGTTGTGGATGCAGTGGACACTGCTGGCTCCGCCGGAGCAGCCGCTGCTAAGCTGGCCGGCAGGGAAGCCATCGGAGGCACTGCAGCAAAGTAAGCCGCCTGCAACAAAGCTGCGCCGGGCGCGTAGCCAAGTGCATGACGGTACGGATGAGCTGTGCTCGCGGCGGCCGCATAGTATGCCGGCGAGAGACTGCGCTGCGAGTCCTGCTCAAAGTCGGTGCGCTGCCGCTTGGCTTGTGGCGAATCGCAGCTGCTCACGCTGGAGCCATCATCTTCGGAGTCGGCATTCGAGTTGGAGCTGCTGTTCAGCTTGCGCTTGCAGCGCGACTGTCCGGTCTCGCGGAAGCCCTTGGCAAATGGATTGTTGTCAATCTTCAGCTTGGTAATACGATCGTTCTGCAAAACACAAGAAGTAAACAGACTTTTGGTTAGTCGACTGCTGTAATCCGAGCTGCCTGGCGTCAGCGAGTAGCCGTAATCGTAGCCGTAGCCGTAGCCGTAGCCGGCGGCAAGCACTTGAGCATTGTGTGAATAGAGCTGGCAATCAGCGACAGTTCACGATCTCTAAATCTGTCTGTCTGTCACAGACGCTCAAGTGGTTTTTGCGCATGCGGGCGACAATTGACCCCCCGCGGCGCCTTTATCTAACTGCTGGCCAGCTTCAATGGCTGGGAGCGAGAAGAAGTTACCCACCTGATAGGCAGTTACGGCGACAAACTCCGTTTCCGGAAAGACAAACGCCTGCTGCGGCGCCCAGGGCAGCTGGGTGAGCTCGCTGCTGCGGATGATATGGAGACGCGGCTGGTACTTGTGCATGCTGGCCAGCACAATCTGTGGATGAAGAGATGAATTTCATTGAGTAACTGCGGAATGCTGTCAAGGGCAAGCAGCACTTACATGTCCGTTGCTGTCGAGTGTGTTGTTCGTCAGCTTGACCTTGTTGAAGAGCAGCGCCTGCGATTGCCAGTGTGCGCCCGTTGCCGGGCTATCCGGATGGAGGTACATGCGCTGCGGACTCTGCGGCTCGGCTCCGCCAGCGGGCACCCACTGCGAGCCGGAGAACTTGTAGCGGCAGTCGCCAATGGGCACCATTTCCAGGAGGACGCAATAGCTGGCCTCCTCCTCCAGGCCGCTCAGCGAAACGCGCATCGAGGGAAACATGCGTCTGCAAGAGAACGACAAGAATATACGTTGATTAAGTGGGCACACATACAACAATGGGCACATGCAGCCATGTGCAACTATAAATCAAGGTATCTTTCTAAGCGCAAAAAAGGCGTTGCCCTGGCATTTTGATTTGTGGCCTGGCCCAACAAGTGTGTAATTATGAACAGCGGGGGAATCGGGATGGCGTTGCATCGATTTAAAACGTAACGAAAACAAATCTCAAAATCCAAAAACCCTGACTCAAAACAATGCAATGCGAGTTAAGTTATGATTAATTGCTGGAAGCGCAGCGCATGGCGCCAAACAATTAGACAAGATCTGTCGGGCATTCAGCTTAACGGCTTCCAAATGTGGCGATACGAGCACTCAATGCAGGGCTAATGAGCCGAGAAAGTGGACACACTGCAACACTGAAACTTCTCCCCACCATCAGCAGCTGGCCAACTCATAATTATGTTAATTTCCAGCGGGCAGTCGCTGCCGCTCGGTAGTCGGTTTCGGGCTCAAAATTCAGCTATCGGAGAATATGCATAAGACGCTCGAGGGGCAACAAAGCGGCCCATTGTATAGCGAACGTGTGAAAACGCAGGTAGAGAACGGCGGACGGGCCCATGCTCAGACAGCTTCTCGGTCTTCTGCAGCATTGTCAAAGCGGCACAATGCGGCCGTTGTCGCTGAGCAGAGATTTTTATGAGCGCGCCGGCGCCAGGACGGCGGTTGCGGCCGCACTTGTTGTTGTCACTGTTGTCCGTGTGCTCGTGTGCCCGGGCAGCGATTGAGCTCCTGCTGCGTTTTGAATTATCGCTAGGCGCCACATTAGGCCACGGTTTTCGAGAGCCGGGTCATGGCAAATATTGACATAGGCCCCGCCGCTGCACTTGACTTTTCAAGTTGTTCGACTACACGAACTCGCATCGCGTCGCTATTTGCATTGGATTTGTGGCACAGTTCTTGGGAAACTTACCTGCCGCTTTTGGTGATGATCATTTCGGTGCCAATCTGATGGAACTGCTGCCACAATTCGTTGTTCTCCAATTTGGCCTCCACGCCCGGCAACATCGGCCGGCTGGGCATCATAATTTGCGGTTGCGGCTGTGCCATATGCAGGGGCAGCATCGCCGGAAAGGGATCTGTGGGTTAGAAGTAGACGCTATGAGCCAGTTGCTTAGAAGTTGTTTGGCTAGTTCGTTAGCTTGCTGCCTCGACCTGTTTCCAGCTGGCATGGCCCAACAATTTATTCAGCTGCTAAATTATGAATGAACCGAAATAGCAACTTCTCCAGAGCCCGACCAAGACAGTTTAATTATGTGAGGCCACTTTTTAAGCCATCTCATGAAGATGGGGGACATGTCCCGTCCTCAATTGATATATTTTTAAAAAGCTAGATCTCAGTCTGGTTGAGGGTTTTCTGCATATCAGACCACAAATCGTATCTAAAAACTTTTGTACACTAGAAATTCAAGCCCGAATCCTCATTGTTAAGTAACCCCAATGTATTAGCCAGCTCTTCTAACGAGAGACTGCATATTGTTAAGATCGTATAGCTCTGACAAAAATCTGTAGATATCTTTGACGCCAAACTGTTATATTTTCCATTTTATTTTAAGCTTTGCCGTCGGCACTTGGACACCTCGTCTGGCTATCAAACGCCCACTTACCTGGTATGCGTTGCATGATCTGTTGACGGTACAGCTCATGGGCCAATTGCTGCTGCATGCGCATATCCATTAAATCGTGCATGGACAACATTGTGAAAAGTTTGATTTGGGGAAGGTCTCAAAAATTTGGTACTCGTAACACTTGTATGACACTTCACTTGGCAACTGTTTATATGTTATTTCTGCGCTACGCTCGAGGTTCTGTTACGCACGACGTTTCGCAACCAACTGATCTTGGGCTGAGCGAGCCAGCCGCTTAGCTGCGCGCGCGTCGTAGCCGGTTACACAGTTCCAGAGCAGAGCCCTGC